AAAAATTTTGAAAATAGGTGTCTTCCGGGAAAAGGAATTGGGAAAGACAGCTACTGTCCTAGAATTATTTAATTTTTTAAAACCACGATGAAACTTAAAAATAAACCAGTAAGTGGAAAGGAGAGACAGAAAAAAGGGAGTGAGGATAGAAGGAAAAGAGGAAAGGAAAACTAATTTTTAGCTATAGTAAAGACGTAAAACTGAGACAAAATTTTCAATGATTAGAATAAAACACAGGAGAATATAATCTTGGATCGGGCTAATTAAGCCTTCTTGAACAACAATCAAACCCAAAATTAATAATGAAAATATTCATGTATTTTATTAACCTCCTAAATATTTTAAACATTTTTTTAAAATTTTTATTTATTTATGATAGTCACACAGGGAGAGAGAGAGAGAGGCAGAGACATAGGCAGAGGGAGAAGCAGGCTCCATGCACCGGGAGCCTGACGTGGGATTCGATCCTGGGTCTCCAGGATCGTGCCCTGGGCCAACGGCAGGCGCCAAACCACTGCGCCACCCAGGGATCCCTATTTTAAACATTAATACAACAAAAGGTACTGAGAAGTGAAAAGTCAAGTGATAGAATGGGAAAAGATATTTGTAACATATTGAAAAAAGATTAATATGTACAATATATAAAAGTGCTCCTAAAAATTCACAAGAAACAACCCAATAGAACAAAACATGAACGGACACAGAAATACAAATGTTTAGTAAGTATAAGAAGCTGTCACACTAGCAATCAGAAGATGCAAATTAAAATGAGATTTCTTTACCCCCAAATGGTAAAAGCATAAAAACAGAAAATCACGTATCTTTTTTTTTTTTTTTGTTTAAGATTTTATTTATTCATTCATGATAGACATAGAGAGAGAGAGAGAGAGAGAGGCAGAGACACAGGCTGAGGGAGAAGCAGGCTCCATGCCAGGAGCCCGATGTGGGACTCGATCCCGGGATTCCATGATCATGCCCTGGGCCAAAGGCAGGCGCTAACCCGCTGAGCCACCCAGGGATCCCCAGAAAATCACGTATCTTATACTAATCAGGCAAACAGGCATTTGCCTCAAAACCTCATATTAAGGAGTGTAAACTGGTCAAACCACCTCTTTCCAGATTTTCAAAACCGTAAATGCCTTTGATCTCACAATTCCACTGCTAATAAGCTACACTACAGAAGTATATGCACACACAGAGAAATATTTAACATAAACATTCAGGTAGCACCATGTAAAGTAACAAACTGAAAATCAAAATCTACAGATGAGTAATTTTTTAAAAACAAGAGAAACAAGAAAAAGAAGTCCTTAAAAAAAATATCAAGATATGCTCCTTTGCACGTAAATATACATATGAAGATACACAGAAGGACTAAGAGGACCAAACTATTTCCAGTTACAGCTGAGGAAAGGGCAATAGGACAGTGGAAATGCGAAGGGAGGTTTAGCTATTTTCATCTCATCTTTTTGTACCATCTGAATCTTTCATATGATTATGCCTTCACCTACTTCTTGAATAATTGCTGAAGACATAAAATTTAATCCCTGATAATTCTGTAAAAATCTTTATGTAGTTAGAATTTGGAATAAAACGTTTTTACGAACTATTGCTTTATATTCTAGATCTAAAAAGTGCTTGGAAGTATAGATAAAAATAAATGTCCAGCATGCTATCCATACCTCGCAACCTGCAAAGGCTGTTCACTCTGCAGTGTTTGCTTATCTGCAGCCAAATCCCAGAGTGCCGGTGGGGCCAGGCCAGTATCAGATTCTTTAATACCTACATAAAAAAGGGTAACAAAATTCACCAGAACATAATGCATCACCTGCAAGCAAGCTTTCTTAACCTCAGCACTACTGACATTTTGAACTGAATAATTTGTTGTGGGAATTGTCCTGTGCATTTTCATATAGGAACATCCCTGGCCGCTAGCCACCAGATACCACCAGCACCACCTCCCCTTCAAGTCATGAGAATCAAGAGTATCTCTAGCATTGCCAAATGTCCTGAAGGAAGCTTGGCACTCGACAAAATCACCCCATTTGAAAACCACCACCCTAAAGTAGCAACAAGCCAAAATTCAACACCGTATCTGAAAAATTCGTGCAGGTCAACTATATAACTTCACCACTCAAATTACTAAGTAGAAAAATTTCCAACGGCTAAGCAACAGCCCACTTACTTCAAGCAATACCATGTAAGACCACATTTTTATTCACTAAGAAATTTTTACTTGTTTATTAGTTTACCAAACCTGGTTCTGACCAACAGAAACATTACTTGTTTAAAGGGTGATGTTGGAAAATAAATAAATAGATAGATAGATAAAGGATGATGTTGCTTAACTACTTAAACACTGAATTTGGTTTTAAGAGGTAGTGAAAAATTATTAAAGGAGATCTACTTTCTTAACAGAGAGGAAGGATAATAATTTTTTAAATTTGTAATTCATGAAAGAGTAACATTTGTATTTAAACTATTTTGATATAATTAACACATGACATTTAAAGAGAGGAGATGAGAATAAAGAAATACATACCAGTGAGCTCATTAATTTTCTTGAGAAGCTGTTGAATGTCATCTTCAACTTGCTTTATCTGCCTAGAGTAAGTACTTTGACCCTAGGAAATAAAGATCACTTTAATTAGAACATTAAGACAACAATTTACTACTCTGCAGACAAAAACTTTTAAGTTACAATTTTAATAGCTATTATTGACCTAACCCTTGTGAAGCTGGAAGTAGAGAAAGCTTATCTTTCTATTTTTTTGAGCTTATCTTTCATAGGTATTTCTAAACCAGTATTTTCCCCCCACACAACACTCCATTATTATGCAAAATAACAAATGAAAATCATGCCTGAAATTAACCACAACTACAAGCCCACTTCTATGCATTAAAACTTTCCATTTCAGATCTAGTTCAGTTATATACATTTTAAATGTAGCAAACACTTGTGAAAACTATTTCAAATATTCTTCAATATATTACCACATGTACAAGCTTTAACATGCAGGAATATTTACTCTCTGATCTAATCTAGAGAGAAAGTGTGATACCTAACTTCTTTCAGGAAGGATTATTATAATCTGCTAAACACTGTCCTTGAATTATCTTGGAAGGATAATATCAACAACAGTTCTTATTTCAACATAAAACATCTATATTTGGTAGACATTGAAAGGACTTACGTAAGTTTTCAGCAAGGCAATATCCCCCTCATCCAGAGCTAAAATAAGAGAATGAATATATTAGTTTCAAAAAGAGGAAATTAAAGCTGACAGTTATTTTCTGTTCAATTTAAATTGCATTTATTGAGTGACAAAAAGTATGCAAAGTTGTAACAATTTAAATAAAACCAACAAAAAGTTTGTGGACTCAAGGAACCTTTACCTAATTTAGTCAAGGCAGATTTTTACAAAGTGTGTAACATAGGGATGCCGGGGTGGCTCAGTGGGATGGAATCCTGCATCGGGCTCCCTGCATGGAGCCTGCTTCTCCCTCTACCTGTGACTCTGCCTCTCCCTGTGTCTCTCATGAATGAATAAAATCAATCAGAGACTAAAAGGGGAAGAAATCGGGGGGGGGGGGGGGGGGGGGCTTGGTGTGCATGATCTCCTGCACTGTGGGCAGAAGTGCCAGAGAGTAATTTCCCAATATCAAAATGACAACTCCACCTCTAAAATCTACTCCACAGCTTCTGTTTGTGCCTGCGGTAAAAGTTATAGGAACAGGGCAGCCCCCGTGGCTCAGCGGTTTACCGCCTGCCTTCAGCCCAGGGCGTGACCCTGGAGACCCAGATGGAGTCCCACGTCGAGCTCCCTGCATGGAGCCTGCTCCTCCCTCTGCCTGTGTCTCTGCCTCTCTCTCATGAATAAATAAATAAAATCTTTTTTAAAAAAGTTATAGGAACAAAGTTACTCATTGCTCTGGAATGGCCATCATAGTGGAAGAAATCTACATGTGCATCAACAAGCGGTTGTGTTTTTTTTTTTAAGGATTTTATTTAGACAGAAGGAGAGCGCGCTCGCAAGCCGAGGGAGAGGCCGGCTCCCCACGGAGCAGGGAGTGTGACAGGGGCCTGGATCCGGGGAGCCTGAGATCAGGACCCGGGGCGAAGGCAGATGCTTAACAGACTGAGCCGAGCCACCCTGGCGCCCCGAGAGGACTAATCAGATCTATTCTACTGCTCACCCAATTAAGTGGGAAAGTATGCAGATGCAGGCAGGCAGACATCACGGACTTTATAACGGTAGGAGCTTATCCCTAAGACGCCCTAAGATGGGGGGGGGAGCAAGACGTACAGTACGCTACATGTATGTAAAAATAAATAAAAGAAGCGCTTGTAGACGCACAGACAAGGTCTAGGGAGATCTACGCAAAATGGCAGCACCGGTTGCCTCCGTGAGTAATGGTTGGCCGAGGACGAGGCACTTCTCAGTGTTCTGCGTTTCACGCCTTAAGTGTTTTGACCTGTTTGAATACGAGCCGGTCAAAGGACGGTTCTGTTTTGGTTTTAAGAAAACAACGTGTCAGGGTCCGGGCTGCGCCGGGGCGGCGCGCGGTGCCCTGGGGCGGGGGGGCGGGGACGCGGGGACCCAGCGCCGCCAGCGGGGAAGCGAGGCCCGCGAGGCCCCCAAGGCCCTCAAGGCCCCGGCGGCGGGGCGGAGCGCAACGCGGGGCCGCACGGGGGGCGCGCGGGAGGCAGGCGGGCTGGGGCGGCGGCCGCAGGGACGCAGCGCCCGCCCGGCACGCGCCCCCCTCCCGGGCCCGCGGGCGCCGGCCTGTGTCCACTGACCTCGGATGGGCTTGTCGTCCTTCTCGTCCTCTTTGGTTTTGCGCTGATCCGCACCGAGGTAATCCGGCATTTTCGGAGCTCCGAGGGCCTGGGCTCCGCGGGGATTACACAGCACCTCGGCCGCTTCCGGTGGCGCCGCTCCTTCCCTTCCGGACCGGAAGTAAGCCGGGCTCGGGGGACCGTTTTGGTCTGCGCACGACAACCGGAAGCGGGTGGCCGGACGCCAGGCGCCCGCGTCCTGCGCGTGTGGGCGCCGTGGGGAGACTGCTCGGTGTGGGGCACGCGGGTGGGCCCTGGCCTCGAGCGGCGCGGGCCCGGGCTCCAGCTTCCGAGACCCGCCCGGCCGCGTCCCCGCGTTCAACGCCGCGTCTAGCCGTTGCTTTGCGGGGCGCCTGGGGTGACCGCTCCGCGCCCCGGGCCGCCCTTACCTCACTCCGTCGCGGGGACGTTACCGTAACTCAGCCTGTGGCGCGCGGGCTGCGCAGCGAGTGGCAGAGCCGCGAGGAGAGCGGAAGCTTTCGTTAGTTCGCTGTCCGCGGGGGCGGGCGGTGAACAGTCTGGAATTTTGGACGTCCTGTCAGGAGCGGGGAGGACCGTCCTCAGGTACAGGGCAGCTGCGGCAGAGCGCAGCGTTGGAAGGAAGTTAGGGGCGCCGGGGGCCTCAGCGGTCGAGCGCCTGCCCGCGGCTCGGGTTGGGGCCCCGGGGTCCCGGGATCGGGCCCCACGTCGGGCTCCCCGCGGGGGTCTGCTCCTCCCCCTGCCTGGGTCTCTGCCTCTCCGTGTCTCTCAGGAATGAGTGAATGAATGAATGAATGACAAGTAATAAGTGATACAATTTTCTTTAAAAAAAAATCAGGTGATGAACAGAAGTGAGTAGTCAGGAAACAACTGTAAGTTTGGAAATGAAAAGCCTGACAGCGAATAGAGTGAAACTGTGACCTGCAGGTGAGAGGAAGTATCCGCACGTCATAAATCCCATAAGGGATTAATATCTTGGATATATGAAAAACCAACTCAACAACAGACAGCCCCATTTTTTAAAAGGATTTTATTTATTTATTCATGATAGAGAGAGAGAGGCAGAGGGAGGAGCAGGCTCCATGCAGGGAGCCCGACGCGGGACTCGATTCCAGGTCTCCTGGATCACGCCCTGGGCAGAAGGCGGCGCTAAACCGCTGAGCTACCCAGGGATCCCGAGACAGCCCCATTTTTAAAAATGGGCGTTGGGGGCGCCTGGGTGGCCCCGCGGGTTGAGTCTTGGACTCTGGATTTTGGCTTAGGTTATGTTCTCAGGGCCCCGGGGTGGGGTCTCGCTTGAGCTATGCACTCAGCATGAAATCGCCTTGTCTCCCGCTGCTCCTCCCCTGCTCGCTCTCAAATACGTAAACTAGAAATGGGCAATGGACTCCAATAAACCTCTCTCCAAAGAAGATATACAATAGGGGATCCCTGAGTGGCTCAGCGGTTTGGCGCCTGCCTTCGGCCCAGGGCGTGACCCTGGGGTCCCCGGATCCGGCCCCACGTCCAGCTCCCCGTAGGGAGCCTGCTTCTCCCTCTGCCTGTGTCTCTCCCTCTCTGTGTCTCTCTCATGAATAAATAAATCTTAAAAAAAAAAAAAATACAGGGCAGCCTGGGTGGCCCAGCGGTTTAGCGCCGCTTTCAGCCCGGGGTGTGATCCTGGAGACCTAGGATCAAGTCCTGTGTAGGGCCCCCTGCAGGGAGCCAGCTTCTCCCTCGGCCTGTGTCTCTTACCTCTGTCTCCCTCTGTTATGAATAAATAAAATCTTAAAAAAAAAATACAATAGCCAGCAAGCACGTGAAAAAGATACTCAACAGCACTAGCCACCGGGAAATGCAAATCCAAACCGGGAGATACCGCCTTACACCCAATAGAATGGCTACTACGAAAAAAGGGGGGGGGGGTGAGGAGAAAGGAAATAAGTGTTGGGGAGGATGTGAAGAAAAGAAACCCCTCCCTACTGTTGGTGAGAATAAAAGGAGATCTAACTGGAAAATAGTATGGCAGTTCCTCAAAAAAAAAAAAATTAAAAATATAAATTACCCTATGATCTAGCAATTTCAGCTCTGGATATACTCCAAAGAACCAAAAGCCAGGTCTCAAAAAAAAATAATTTATATCTCCATGTTCGTAGCAGCATTACAATAGCCAAAATGTGAAAGCAACCCAATAGGCAGATGAACGGGTAAGGAAAGTGTACATACCGTGAGATAGTATTTGGCCTTAAAAATGAAAGAAATTCGGACACATAGTACAATTGTAAAGATATTATGCCAGATAATTAGCCAGTCACGAAAAGACAGAGCGTCTTGCAAGTGATTCCACTTCTATGAGGTACCTAGAGTAATCAGATTCTTAGAGAAGGGCACCTGGGTGGCTGCCTTTGGCTCAGGTCATGATCTCAAGGTCCCAGGATTGAGCCCTCGCCCTGCGCCCTGCTCCCAGCTCAGCGGGGAGTCTGCTGCTGCCTCCTCTGCCCCTCGCCCCGCTTGTGTCTGCTTGTGTGCGCCTGTGCTCTCTCAATAAATACAATACTTAAAACAATTCTTAGAGACAAGTTAAAATGGTAGTTGCCAGAGTCTGCAGGGAGGCCAAAATGGAGAGTTGTTATTTAATGGGTCTAGAGTTTGTTTTGCAAGATGAAAAGAATTCTGACAATTGGTTGCACAACAAAATGAATGTATTTGATGCTAAACTGTACACTAAAAAATGGTTAGGATGTGAATTTCATGCTATATGTATTTTACCACAATTTTGAAAAATCCCGTAGTATGACCTTAGAGAAACTGTAAGAACGGATGTGTAGGTGTGAAGAAAAAAAAAAAAAAAGAATGGATGGGGTAGGAGTGAGAAAAAAAGTGGAGTCAGGCTATTTCCTGTTTTACTTTTTTTTTTTTTTTTTTAAGATTTTATTTGACAGAGCATGAGCAAGGGAAGGAGAGGCAGGAGGGAGAAGTACACTCCCCACTGAGCATTGAGCCCAACCCGGGGCCGGGTCCCAGGACCCTAAGATAATGACCTGAGCGATAGGCAGATGCTTAACCAACTGAGCCACCCAGGTGCCCCTTAAAGATTTTTTTCATAAGCGGTTATATTAATAAAGAAAAGGGGGGATCCCTGGGTGGCGCAGCGGTTTGGTGCCTGCCTTTGGCCCAGGGCATGATCCTGGAGACCCAGAATCGAATCCCACGTCGGGCTCCCGGTGCATGGAGCCTGCTTCTCCCTCTGCCTGTGTCTCTGCCTCTCTCTCTCTCTCTCTCTCTGTGACTACCATAAATAAAATAAATAAATAAAAATAAAATAAAGGGTCAGGAGGTGGTTTAGGGGGAGATAATTAACTTACTTTTCAAAATGTTGATTTTGGGGCAGCCTGGGTTGCTCAGCAATTTTGGTGTCTGCCTTCCGCGCAGGGTGTGATCTTGGAGACCCGGGATCGAGCCCCACGTTGGGCCCCCTGCATGGAGCCTGCTTCTCCCTCTGTGTCTCTGCCTCTCTCTCTCTCTCTCTCTCTCTCTCTCTCTCTCTCTCTGTGTGTGTGTGTGTGTGTCTCTCATGAATAAATAAAATCTTTTTTTAAAATGTCGAATTTGAAGTGACATTTTCGTCATGTGGTAGATAGCAGTCCAATTTGACTTATTTAACAGTGAAAATATCATTCCTAGAGAATAAAGCTCTAACATTTGGTATTCTGTAACACATGGATTCTCTCATTTTGCTCAACCTATTCCAGATATTGCTGCGTGGCTGGTGGCGGTGGAGAGAGGGGTGACTCTTCATCTTCTGGTTCCCTTTTGCTAGTTCCCGTGTTTGACCTCAATCCCAGAAGGAATTATAGTAGGAGTACAAATTATTTTTACATTAAACAACTAAGTCCCAGGGCCCTGTAATTGGTAATATCTTGGGAAAAACAAAAAACTTCCTGCTTTTAAAGCAGAGTAAAAAAAAATGATAATAAAAATAAAGCTGAGTAAAAAAGATTGCCGGCTTTAGAATAGAATCTTAACAGTGAGGAGGTGATTTTCACTGAATGTTATGAGGTTTAGATGAGACAACACAGGCAAATAACTTAGTAATGTCGCAACAAACATTAGTTGACTTTTTTTTAAGATTTTATTTATTTACTCACGAGACAGAGAGAGGCAGAGACACAGGCAGAGAAGCAGGCTCCCTGTGGGGAACCCGACCTGGGACTCGATCCCAGGACCCTGGGGTCACGCCCTGGGCATCACGAAGGCATATGCTCAACCACTGGGCCACCCAGGCGTCCTTAGGTGACATTATTTGGGTAGATGCAAATACAGATGTAGGTACAGAATTCTCCACAGATGTATATAGAGTACGATAATTCTCAACACTAATTTGTACATATCCTTTCGTTTTCTATTCCTAGGAGTAGAGCTACTGGAAAAATCAGCGGTTAGGTTCGGGCTGAGTGATTTAAAAATAATATTTTAAGAGCTGCTTGGGAAAGTCCTGCTTCAATATACCCTGGTGGAGGAGAAGACTCCTTTTCGCCGCGGAACGGAGGCGTCTAGGAACCTTTGTTTTGTGAGCGTTGGTCCCCAGCCGGACCGAGGCAGCGGCCGAACCGGGCTGCCGCCCACGTTGGCGCGGCGTGCGGGGGTGGCTTCGGCCGCCGCACCGCGAAAGGTCCATCCCGGAAGTAGTTGTCGGTCGTCTCCATGCGCCGGCTCCCGGGCGTCGCGGAGCCAGGGCGCGAGGCTCGGACGGAGAGGTAGAGCCGGAGAGGACGCCAAGCGCCCTGCGCCCGGGCCGCGGCGCCATCATGCTGCTCCTGCCGAGCGCTGCGGACGGCCAGGGCACCGCCATCAGCCACGCTCTGACCTCGGGTACGTGCCCGCCCAGCCCCGCTCCGTCCCGCCGCGGCCGCCCTTGCCGCCGTCCTCCGCCTGCGCGGCCCCGGCGACGAGCGGCCGGCGCGTGGGGCCGGGACGCCGGGGCCTCTTCGCTGCGGGCCGTGGAGAAATCCTGCCCCGGCTGAACGGAGGGAGGGAGGGAGGGAGGGAGGGGACGTCGTCCCCGCGTGGCGGCTGCCGACTCCCGGGTCGGCAGCGGAGCCCGCGGCCCCCAAGGAGGCCCAGAGCGTGTCGGCGCCGGGGCGGCAGGCTGCCCGCGGCCCCCGCTGCTCGGCCGCTGCGCACCGTGCTCCGGCCCCGCGCTCGCGGCCGCTTTGTTCCCCCAAGTGTCAGGACTCGGGCGCCGCCCCCCGCAGCCCCTCGGCGTGGACAGGTCGCGGCCGCGCTGCTGCGGGAGCCGCTGGGTCCGTGCGTGGCGGCCTCCCGCGGCCCCGTAGTGACCCGCGCGGCGCAGACAGCCGGCCCCGGGGCGGGGTGTGCGCGGCGTCCGCCCGAAGGGAAAGCCCCGGAGAGGAGGCTCTCAGAGCCCCGCGCGCGTGCTGCGCAGCCAGCGCTCCTGGAACTCTGTTGAATCCTCCTCCGTAGGGTACAGGAACGCTTAATTTTCCAAGCAACTAAAGCAAGAAAGAATCAGTAATTTTTATTTTTAGAAAGGTGTGGGCATCGGGTACAAGGGGAGACTTGGACCGGAGTTGCTGACTGCTGGACACAGGGAAGCTTTTTGCAGTCATACGGACCCATGAAATCAAAGCGTTGTTGAGGGGTGGTTTTCCTTTCCTGACTCAGATTACCCTTTTTTTTTTTGAACTGCTGATACACGCACGTGCAGTGATTTATCCCTGCTTCTCAGGAATGACGATGACGCCTTACTCTGATTGGACGCTGTGGTTTTCAAAGTGCGGTTTGCCCCTCAGTCTAACACGGAACCGTGCAAGATAGATATCGTTCTGGTTTTGCAGTACATCTCTGGCTCGTTCTCCACAGCCCCCGAGTGTCAGACCTAGACGAAATCCAGAGCTGCTCGCTCCACATCTAGAGCGAGTTTCCCTGTAGCGTCGCTGTCTCAGTAGATCCTCATGAGCTGCCTGGAGAGCTGTCTTCCAGGACAAACCATCGCTAGCAAATTCTTAACATTTTCAAAAGCTACCTGAATTCGAGGTTTTAATTAAGATATTTTGACTTGTTTTCAGAAAACTTGTTTTTTTTTTATAGTGTTTTTAGGACAGTTTATCATTTGGTTTTTTTTTTTTTTTTTTACAATTATTGGTTTGAATGTAAAGCAGTTGGCAGCGTTTCTTCCCTGTTCCTCACCTTCCTCTTCTATTCTCAGGAAAGTTTTGATTCATTGTTGATATTGCTGGATATTTGTCGGATAACTGGAAGAGGTTGATTCTGTAAATACTAAGAAATGATTATTGCTAGCCCTCATGTTAACTGGATTGCAGGCATTCCTTGTTTTATGGCACTTTATTGTGCTTGGGTGATACTGCCTTTTTTTTTTTTTTTTTTTTTTTTTTTAAACAAATTGAAGGTTTGTGGCGGTCCTGTGTGGAGCAAGTCTATCCGCACAACTTTTCCAGCAGTGTTTGCTTACTCTGTGTCTCTGTCACATTTTGGTAATAGAGGTTTTTAAATTTTTTCAACACTGTTGTGGTGATCTGAGATCAGTGATTATGACTCCCTGACAGCTCAGATGGTGGTTACCGTTATTTAGCAATGAAGTATTTTAAAATTAAGGTATATACGTTGTTTTCTTTACACGTAATACTATTGGACTCTTAATAGACCTCAGTCTAGTGTAAAACATAATTTTTTGTATGCACTGGGAAACCAAAAAATATATTAGATTCACCTTTCTTTTTTGCAGTATTTGCATTTTTGTGGTGGTCTGGAACCAAACCTGCACTATCCCAGGTATCCCTGTAGTGTAATTATTTGCTTAGTTGATGGTCTTTAAATTATATTCTCATGCTGTCTCTGTTTTAATCTTATATTGCCTTGAAATAGATTTATTCCATGCAATACATTGAAGCCTCTCTTAACGCTTTCAATCACAGCCTCAACACTCTGTCAAGTTGAACCTGTGGGAAGATGGTTTGAAGCTTTTGTTAAGAGGAGAAACAGAAATGCTTCTGCCTCTTTTCAGGAACTGGAGGATAAGAAAGAGTTATCAGAGGAATCAGAAGATGAAGAATTGCAATTAGAAGAGTTTCCCATGTTGAAAACACTTGATCCCAAAGACTGGAAGGTATTTAATATTTGAATCTTTTGTTTAGTCAGATGCTTTGTTAAGTGTAGGAGGTTTTCCCATAAGTTTTCTGACACTAAGTTAAGATGCTCAACAAGAGCACCATAATTGAGCACCCATTTACTGTTAAGCTCAGAGTAGGATAGCACTCATCATGGGATACTGTCTCTGCTGGAAAAATCCTGGAAGTTTTCACAGAAACATAATGTTTGAGCTGGCCTTAAAAGGATGAGAGGCAGTTTGTTAAGCAGAGAAGGGAGAAAGGATGTTCTGGGTAGAAGGAATAGATCTGCAAACACAGGAGTAAAGAATGTATACCGCCTCTTTGGGGACTAGTGAAGAGTAGAGTGGGTAGGGTGCTTGAATGGTGGTTGTGAGAAATTAGTCCTAAAACAAGACTCTAGACCAGATTGTAGTTGTAGTGGCCTTTTTATGCCATGCTAAGGAAGAAACTCAGATTTGATTTTTCAGGGCAGTAGGAAGTCATCAAAAGTTTCTAAGCTAATTTTAGCAAAGTAATTCTCCTAGCAGTACAGAAAATTGCTTGAAAAGGGAGAGCAGGGCTGGAGGGGAAGTGAATTGTTTGCTGTTCCAGGGCTAGTGCGATAATCCAAGCCTGCGAATGCATACTTGAGCTAAATTTATGCCCGGGTTTTGAGGAAGAGGGAACATGTGCTTTTTTTGGAGGTAGACTTGATAGAGCTTGTTGACCTTGGCTGTGTGGCACTAGAGAAGATGTACTCAGAAGACCTCTGAGCATTCCAGTTTGAATGACCTGCTGGAATGTGATGCCAGCCACCAAATTGGGATGTAGGAAAAAGGGAGTTTGTGGGGAATGTGGTGTTTGTGTTCAAGTTTGGCTCTGTCAAAATTGATGTTCTAGTAAAAATACTGGTGAAATCTTCTAGTAGATGGTTAAAAATTGGTCTGTGATTCCGAAAGGAGGATAAAGCCAAAAACATTTGCAAGGCTTTGGCAAGTCGTAGGTGGTAGTTGAAACTGGGGGAATTGAGTGACATCAGCTGAGGAGAAGAATATAGACAGGTAGGTAGCATACAGTTTTAAGTATACAGTATGCAGTATATATACTGTAGAACTAAGAGTGTCAAAATTCAAATCTTGTTCTGCCCATTAGTGCACTGGGACCTTGGGAGAGTTGACAAATCTGTTTTGTGCAATGAGATTGCTAACAGCTTGGGACGCCTGGGTGGTTCAGCAGTTGAGCATCTGCCTTTGGCTCAAGGTGTGATCCCAGAGTTCTGGGATCGAGTTCCGCATCGGGCTCCCTGCATGGAGTCTGCTTCGCCCTCTGCCAGTGTCTCTGCCTCTCTTTCTCTGTCTCTCATGAATAAATAAAATCTTTTAAAAAAGAGAGATTGCTAACAGCTCAAAGGAATATAGCAAAGATTAATGCAGTGATGCATATAAAGCACTTAATGTAGTACTTGACACATGATACATACTGAACAGATAGTGGATAGTGAGTTCTTATCTCCTAGCTTGTGAGGATTAAATGAGGTGTATGTGTAAAGCGCTTAGAAAAGTAGATAAGTACTCAAAACATTAGCTGATTCACATACTGTCCGTATCAATTTTAAAAGAAAAGGACTGAACATTGAGGAGCCTGCATATTTTAAGGGGTGGGCAGAGGAGGAAAAGCAGTAAAAGATACTAAGAAGGGTGAAAGAGGTAGAAAGAAAACAAAAAGACATTTGTTAGTTCAACAAAGGTGTATTAAACATCAGGCACTAGACTCTTGCAGAAACTAAGAGAGGGGTAAGTCTCAAGAAGGACAAAACAGTCACCAGTGTCACTGCTTTGGAGAGGTCAGTCATCACGTAACATGAATAATAATAAAAGCCAACGGGTTTGGCAAATGAACATCAGGTGGCCACATTGAAAGCAGTTCCAGTAAAAACGGTTGAGATGGCAAGCGGTTACATTGGGTTGAGTGATTAGAAGGTGATGAAGTGGAGACAGTCCGAAATATGCTTTTAAAGATGGGTTGTAGAGAAAATACTAACTTGAGAGAAAAGCAGGGTCAGGAGAAGATAGAATTGGGACCATTGAGGTCTACAAGGGAAAAAGAATGATGGAGAAAATCTTTGATACAGAAAAGAGTAGATGATGTCAAAACAAGGTAGCAAGGTCCATACATTGGTTCAGTTAATTGTTTCTTTCAACAAACAGGGATCAAGCATCTGGTTCGTGTCAGACACTGTTCTGGGAGCTGAGGAGTCTGATGAACAAGACAGTGTCACTGCTTCCACGTAGCTTATATAGGAGATGGATGATAAGCAAACCATCAAGGACATGGTCACCAGATGCTAGGCAAAGAAGTAGAATAGGGTGCTGGGTAGAGTGTCCAGGTGACTGCTTAGACTGAGTGGGTGGAGAAGGCTGGTGGAGTACATTTAAGATCAAACCTGAATGACACACAAAACTCAGGGTGAGTGGATTCCAGGCAGAGAGCTTGTGCAGGGGCAGAAAGAAGTTTGAAGTGTGCCAGGAACTAAAGAAGGCAAATGGGTGGAACAGTGTATAAGGGCATGGTGAGGAGGTAAGGAACAATAGTCACTGGAAAGCCATTGGAGAGTTTGAAGCAATGACAATTTTTAAGTACCCTAGAGGGAACACGAAGGAACAGAGATGGGGAGAGAAGGTTGTTTATTTTAAATAAGGTGGTGATAACATTCAAGCTGAAGGATGAGAAGATGGCAGCCACATGGAGAGAGGGAGATGTGCCAGGTGGGGAGAACGGCACGTGAGGAGAAAGAGCTTGACATCTGTGGTGAACTGCAACACTAGAGAGTAAGAGGCCCGCAATAACGAGAGTTAGAGGTGCTCTGTGCATTTGGGGCTCAGAGGAAAGGTCTGTGCTCAAGTCAACTGAGGAGTCATAAGCATACACAGGCCTGTATTCTAGGCCTGGCACTGGCTCATGTCACCAAGAACTAAATTATAGACAAGAGAAACCCCAGAACTGAGCTTTGTAGGTCTTGGAGAAGCCAGAGCGGCTGAAAGAAGGTACTGGAAGGTGGGAGGAAAACAGTGAATCACAGAAACACTAGAGGAGGGTAATATTTCAAGGAAGGAGTCTGCTGTGCTGCCACTTAGAGCTGAAGTCAAGTGAGGGCAGATGAGTGAACTTGGATTTAGTCTCTGGAAATTCATACTGAAGAGAGCAGCCTCACCACACCTGCGGTGGGAGCGGATGGAGCAGAACCAAAGTGCAGTGGTTTGGGGGGTAAAACATGGGAATGGGTTTTTCAAGAAGTTTTTCATTGACAGCAGAGAAATAGGGAGAGAGCAGAGCAGCAGCTGGAAAGGGAAATCATGGAAGTGTTTTTAAGGATGAGGGCTAACGGGGGCACCTGGGTGACTCAGTGGTTGATGTCTTTGGCTCAGGTAATGATCCCGGGGTCCTGGGATAGAACCATTGGGCTCCCTGCTCAGCAGAGAGCCTGCTTCTCCTTCTTCCTCTATCCCTCCCCCTGCTCAGGGGTTCTGTCTCTCTCTCTCTCTCAAATCGATCAAATCTTTCTTTAAAAAAAAAAAGCTAACAGATCATCTTTTATACAGATGAAGATAATCCAATTGAAATTTAGAAAATAGAAGATGCTAGTGTTTTGAGGAGACTTAGAGAAGACAGTATTCAGAACCAACGGGAAGGATGGAGTAGCTTATTTTGGTAGAACAGGTTTTTTCAATTTTTAGTGGGGGGGGAGGGAAAAGATACATGGATGCAAGTCAGGTGGTAGAAAGATTGAGTAGGAATTTGAGTGGGATGATTTACATTTTTAGTTAAGCAGGAGGCAGGGCTGTTGATAAGGTAGAGAAGGATCTGTGAGGTTTGAGGAGACCAGAGAAATAGGAACCTTAGGGAGTGGAAAGGTAAACCAACTAGAACCAAGTACGATTGCCAGGCATAATGAAGAAGGCCATCCATATGAATTTTGCAGTCCTGAATTTAGGGGAAACCAGTCAGCCCAACTGACTTTTTTGTCCCATGTTTCATGCCCTTGACTTCCTTTCCTCCCCATTCACTTCTCCAATACTAGATACACCCTTTGAGTTTTGTAGGGAGATTGCAGTTACTCCTTCAATTTGAAAGTTCACGAGGTCGTTAACCAAAGCAGAAACGAAAGTAGGTATTTCCTTTCCAGAGAATCCTCATCCCTCACTTTCTCAAAATTTCCATCCAACCTACCTTCTTTGCTCTACAGGACTCCTAGTCCTGTCATTGCCGTGGCCCAAACCTGTGGGGCTGTAATAATGCTTCCCTTTGTTCTAAAATCTTTCTGGCTATACTTTGATTTAGGGTGACCAGAAGATATTAGTAGGTGTTAAGAGAAAAAAAGGCTCAGTGGTTAAGTAAGTTTGTTTGTTTGTTTGTTTATTTATTTATTTATTTATTTATTTGAGATTTTATTTATTTATTCATGAAAGACACAGAGAGAGGGCCAGAGACACAGGCAGAGGGAGAAGCAGGCTCCATGCAGGGAGCCTGACTGGGACTCAACCCCGGGACTCCAGGATCATGCCCTGGGCCGAAGGCAGGTGCTAAACCGCTGAGCCACCCAAGGATTTCCTCAAGTAAGTTTAGAAAATGCTGGGTTTTATAGGTTTCTGTTTGCTTGGTGTTTTTTTTTTTTTTTTAATTGTAGGACTTCTCAGAGCCTTTATTAGGTTTATGTACATTAAAATCATGAAGGCTGTATCACTGTCCACATTTCCTAGACTTAGAACAGAATCCATTTATATGCACCGTCTCATTGGACTCCTAGTATGGGAAGCACTATTTTAGGATACGAGCACAAGGGATAAGATATGTTGCTCCATTTCACATTTGACTATCTTTCGTGTCTTTATCAGAACCAAGATCATTATGCAGTACTTGGACTTGGACATGTAAGATACAAGGCTACACAGAGACAGATCAAAGCAGCTCGTAAGTACTTAGTTGTTTTGATTTCTTTATTTTTTTAAAATTTTTATTTATTTATGATAGTCACACAGAGAGAGAGAGACAGAGACACAGGCAGAGGGAGAAGCAGGCTCCATGCACTGGGAGCCCGACGTGGGATTCGATCCGGGGTCTCCAGGATCGCGCCCTGGGCCAAAGGCAGGCGCCAAACCGCTGCGCCACCCAGGGATCCCACTTAGTTGTTTTGAAATAATGCAGTATCTGGTATAGGAACTGTTACCCTTTTGAGAAGGTATGCGCAATCATAGTCTATAGTGATAAATCTAGATTCAGCAGCATTTGTTATGTTGTCATAATGATGCATAACCATACTCTTTTTACCTTCAGAACAGAAAAAAAAAAATCTCATGCATGGACTTTCTCACTGGGATAAGAAATCAGAGGGTGCATGGGTGGGTGTGTTTGTGACCAAGATAAAAAACATTTTTCCAACCCAAGCTTTTAAAAAATGTTTCATTTCTCTCTAGAAGTATGGCCAGCTGTATTTAGTGGGAGCTGACTTGTTACTTAGGTTTTTTGATGTTATTTTGTAGTTTAGGTTACATTTTTATTGATACCACCCTGTCTGTTCTGCCCAAGGAAGAATTATGTTTTACTATCCTCTTCACTAACAAGATTAAAAATTGGGAGGGAGTTGTTGGAAACCTCGTCTTCACATGCCTTATAAAACACCAGCCCCTTAGTGCCCTTCACACCATTCGGTTCATCTGGTTAGTAAAGTTTGATGAACAAGATGAAGGTGATTAGTTTTCTGTGTTTTAAGAGAATGTTCTACCCTCCACTCTAGAGAATGGATATTGAGGTCAGAGGAGGTAAGATTGTGACCATATGAAAAAGGAGTTAGGGAGTTAAGGCCAGTCAAGAGGAGAAAGTATAGTACTTGGGTGAAGATGGCTGAATGACACCCGTCTCATGTTGAAAAATACTAGTTGATATTCAGTGTAGTAGATAAACTCAAAGTTTTCTTCATTAATGCCTATATTTAGGAAAAACACAGGAAATACTTTTATCAAGGAAATGGAATTTATGAGATTATTTTAGATCTATTATTTGGTTTCTTAAAAAGCTGGCATAGTTTTAGACTAAGCATATGTTAATGTATATGAAGAGTCATTGCAAAATACGTGAATGCCAGGGAAATTCATTTGCCATGGGAAAATACTTGCAAAGTCTTGCTATGTGAAAGAACAGCATACAAATACCAAATGAGTCTTGGTACATATAAATTTGTGAAAGAATTAGAAGTGATTTAGAACTGTGAAAATAGTTGATGTTTTAAGGTGAAGGAATTGTATTTTTCTCTAAAGATAAAAAACGTACAATAAGCTCTAAAAGAAACATTCATTTGTTTCTAATTCCAATCACTTAAATTGGCATAATAGAAATTAAATTTTGAATACTCTATAGCCAGAAGCTTTGCAACCTTGGTACACAGATTACTGACATTAAGTAAAATTATAATTCACTCTCTGCCACTATGTAGGTATTTTCAGTATTTATTCAAAAGGCAACAGTCATTCCTCTTACCTGCTATCCATTATAAAATATGCTGGTCTGCTGCTTTACTGCTTTCTGACATTTAGTCCAAAAGTAAAAATGCAAAGTTAGTGTTTATAAATCGTTACTGTTAGCACAGAGAAGCCTAATAAAAAGTCTTAACTGCGTTTGCAATCTTTCAAATTCTTACATCCTGTTGTACACATAAAAGAGTTTTCTTTTTAATGTAATTTGAATTGCTGTAATGAAAATTAGCCAGTTAAGGGTGAATAAAGTAAGTGGTCTTTTTTTTTCCTTCTCTAAAAAGAATAAGTCATTAGAAAAGTTGAAGGACAGGTTAAGAGAAAGTACTTGAATACTAAAAGTGGTATTTCAGTTGCTTACATAATTTTGTTTTGAAGTAAAATAGCTACACTGGCAAATGATGCATGTAGGTCTGATATTCTTTGCATGGAAATAAAGTCTTTGGTGACTTGGATTTTCTAAATTTAATAATTTAGTTTAAAATACTTCTGGCATTTTAAACTGAAGCTTTTCATTATGCTTCTTAAAAATTAAAAGTCCTATTCAGAGACATCTTATAATAGTAGCAATATGAATGTACAATAAGCCTTTTTGCTACGGTTCTCTCAGAACATCCTAGAAACTGTATTCAGTGGGAGGAGCAGGGGGTATCTTTGAGATTTCAGTAATCAACTGCTGTTCCCAAAGTACCCTTGTTTCTTTTTCAGTTGTTCTTTGGCTCCTTTATTTTCAATATTGAGAAATATCTTTTGCCCCCTCCACAAGAAACGGTATAGGACAGTCTCAGGACTCTAGCGTACATGCATGAGTAAAGATTAGGCAGAGAATTCAATGAAGAAAAAACCTGTGCAGCCTAAGAGGAGACTATCCAACAAAAAATTGAGACATCACGGCTCAGACTTCTATCATAAGGTTCAAAAGAAGATTTAACTATCTTCCCATGTCAATAAAATATGAAGACACTGCTTTGGGAGGTGGTGTAGGCATTGCAGAAAAAGACTAGGGGAAACTAAGAAGAATTGCATGGACACTGAAAACAGAAGAGCAGAACCTACAGTTAGAAAAACAGGGGCAGCCCCGCCAGGTGGCTCAGTGGTTTAGCTCTGCCTTCTGCCCGGGGCGTGATCCTGGAGACCTGGGATCGAGTTCCACGTCAGGCTCCCTGCATGGAGCCTGCTTCTCCCTCTGCCTGTGTCTCTGCTTCTCTGAGTCTCTTTGATGAATGAATGAATGAATGAATGAATGAATGAATGAATGAATGAATAAAATCTTGAAAAAAACAGATAACTAAGACATGCAAGAATGGTGATGAATAACAAAACATTAGCTTGAGAGGAAATCAAATACAAAAAACTCTTAATTCCGTTTACATGAAGTTCAAGAGCATGCAAAAAGTTGTCTGTGGTGAAGGAAATCAGGTGGGTAGCGTATGCGAGTTGACTAGAAAGGGTAAAGGGAAACTCGGTAATAGAATGGTCTGTATTGGGATACGTGGGTGGCTCAGTGGTTAAGCGTCCGCCTTTGGCTCAGGGTGTGATCCTGGAGTCCTGGGATCGAGTCCCACTTCTGGCTCTCTGCATGGAGCCTGCTTCTCTCTCTGCCTGTGTCTCTGCCTCTCTCTCTGTGTGTATCTCATGAATAAATAATAAATATTTTTTAAAATAAAAAAAGAAATGGTCTGTATTTTCTTTGGTGGTAGTTACAGGGGTGTATACAATTGTCAAAACTCAATGTAAATTTTAATTTAGCAGATGTAATTAAACAAAGCAAAATAACAATTACTCGGGAAATCGTTTACACTTTGCAGCCTAGAAATATACAAAAATTGTGTTAAGGGATTCCTTTTGTGTAGGAGTAAAGTCATTGCCTATCAAAACTTAAGGAATGGTGATTAAAGCTGTACCATAAGTTCATTGATTTAAACTACTGTTACTAAAAAAAAATAAAAAGTAAAAAAAAAATAATAAACTACGGTTACTTTTTAAAAAGAGGGAAAAATAAAATGGGTATCCAATTCATATGTTTAAAAGAATAGCACTATGGAACATGGAGAGAAAAATGGAAGAGATAAAACAATATCCCAAAATGGATTTTATAAGAAGAAAAAAAAATAGTGAAATACAAAAAGAAAACCATTACAGAAGATATTTTTGATTGAGACCACTATTAAATGTAATATAGATTCAAAATTTTTTATTAACTTTCTTGAAATTGGGGAAGGGGGACACCTGGGTGGCTCAGTGTTTGAGCATCTGCCTTCGGTTTGGGGCTTGATCCTGGAGTCCAGGGATTGAGTCCCACGTCGGCCTCCCTGCAGGGAGCCTGCTTCTCCCTCTGCCTATGTCTCTGCCTCTCTCTCTGTGTGTCTCTCATGAATAAATCTTTAAAAAAAACAATCGGGAAGAAATTTTAAAGGCAGATGTTTTAAAGATTTTATTTATTTTAGAGCATATACATGAATGGGGAGTGCATAGGGAGAGAAGAATCTCCAGCAGACTCTGCACTGAGCTTGGAGCCTGACATGGAGCTTGATCTCACAACCCCAAGATCATGACCTGAGCCCAAACCAAGAGTCAGATGTTTAACCAACTGAGCCACTCAGGCATCAGTAAGTAGGAAGAAATCTGAAAAGTCATAAAAGTGTTAACCTCCTGAAAAAAAGAGTTTTTAGGGGAGCCTGGCTGGCTCAGCAGAGCATGCAATCCTTGATCTTGAGGTTGTGAGTTCAAGCCTCACAGTAAGTGTAGAGATTACTAAAATAAACTTTTAAAAATAATAATAGCAAATACAATTCAACAGCACATTAAAGGAATGATACCCACGAACAGGTAGGATTTCTCTCAGGAATCTAACTTAGGAAATATATTAATATAACCTAAGTTTGTTTATAGGTTAGTAATACGTGATTTCCTAATTAGTGAAAATATAGAATGCAATTTAATAGACATTCCTTTTTGATAAATAGAACTTTGCAAACACAGTTAATTTCCTACTTTGGTAAGTCACACCCAACCAACAAACTTTTTTTTTTTTTTTAAGATTTTATTTATTCATGAGAGAGAGAGAGAGGCAGAAACAGAGGCAGAGGGAGAAGCAGGCTCCATGCAGGGAGCCCAACGTGGGACTCCATCCCAGATCTCCAAGATCAGGCCCTGGGAGGAAGGTGGCGCTAAACCGCTGAGCCACCTGGGCTGCCCCACAACCAACAAACTTAATCATGTGGTGTTAATGATAATTACCATTAAAATCCATGGGAGGGGGGTGCCTGGGTGGCTCAGTCCATTAGGCATCTGCCCTTGTAATTGAGCCCCCACATTAGGTTCCCTGCTGAGCAAGGAGCCTGCTTCTCCCCCTACCCCACCCCACCTCTTCCCTCTGCGCATATGCTCTCTTTCAAATAAATAAATCTTTAAAAATAAATGCATGGGAGAAGCTAACCTGCC